AGTGGAAATGTTTTGTTTCAGTTTTTATACTGTCTGCGTAAAGGAACATAGTATCACTTGAAGGAAAACTGTACAGATATATAGTATAAGCCTTAAAGCAACCACTAAAATTACACAACAATGAGTTATAGTTAATAAGCCAACTAAGGAGATAAAATGAAATCATAAATTAGCAAGATTGCAGAATACATGGTTGAATGTACAAAAAAACCAATATACAGAATACTAGCAACAAACAATGGGAAACTGGAATACAAACATTACCACTTGCATTGGCATCGAAACGTATTAAATACTTAGGGATACGTCTGACAAAAGAAGTACGAGGCTGCCACACAGACATTATCCAACATTTCCGAGAGAAATGACAGAAGACAAACAAATCAAGAGAGATAGTGTGTGGGTGGGTTTTGACAAGACTCAATATTATTGTCAGTTTTTCCTCAAACTGATCTGTAGATTTAATGCAATGCCAATCAAAATTTGGGCAGGCTTTTTTGTTTTTGTAGAAATTAAGGTGTACTGATTCTAAAATTCAGCAAAGGACCTCGAAGCGCAGACTCAACTTTTAAAATGATACAAAGTAGGAGGACTTACACTCCCTGAGTTGTGGTTACTGGGAAGCTGCAGTCATCAAGACAGCATGGCGTGGTGTCTAGACAAACAAATAGGTCAATGGCATCGAATGGCAAGTCCAGACATAATAAACACACACACACTTGGTCCTACACAAATACCACTGGCGGTCTACCGCTGCTGGAAGAGGGGAGGAGATTTTCTCGAACAAAGGCTGCTAAAGATACAAGGGAAAGGTTGGCTCCTTCCCTGCAGGGAAGGAGCAAAATAACTGAAAGCTCCAACTTACACCAGACCCGCCTGAGACTCAGGACAATGGACAACTGTCCTCACCCCCACCCCCACCAGGCAAACAGACGCCAAGTACCCAGCACAGCCGTCCGTGGACGAGGGTGGGATGGGGGGCTGGGGGAGTGTGGTTTAGACACATAGAGGACAGAGGATGAGGGTGGAGCAGAACATTGAAGAAAACCCTCTGAGACAGCCATAGATAACCTGAGAAGAATTCCAAGCCAGGGGTGCTTGGTAACCATAGCAACAGCTGAATCCAAGCCCATCTCCACAACTGCCTGGATTGACTCCATCCCCCGCACCGTCAGCCTAGCCGAAGACATGTCCCCATCGGAATGGGGAGTGCCGGTGACAGGCATTGGACAACAAATGCCTGGGACGGGAAATGAACAGAGGACCGCCACTCTGACAGCAGAGAAGGCTCTGGGACGGGGCTTGAATTGGAAGAACAATCTGGAATTTGAGATTTCCCTGCCACCATCCGTATCAAAGGGACAGGCGCGCCCCTCGCCTGAGTGGAAGGGAGCCTGGTATAGGATCCTTCAACTTCAGAGGCAAGGGCAGAGTTCACGGAATTCTAATGAGGATAAATGTTAGTGACATTTGGGACGTTTTTCATAGGGACGTAGGTGTAGCGTCTTTTGTGAATTACTCATTGTGTGCTTTGCCCGTTTGTGCTATGAGGGTTTGTGTCTTTGTGTTAATTTTATGAGAGTCCTTTACGTGCTAAAAATCTTAACGCTTTGACATTTGTGGCAAATGTTTTCTTTGACTTGATTGTCTTTTAATTCTTTCATTAAATTTAGCTCTTTCATTTAAGTGTTTACACCACCATTACTTTTCCTTTGTGGTTTTTGATTTTGTTATTTTGCCAAGGAAATCTTTGCCCCCCTTAAATTACTACTGAGCAATGTCAGCTGTGTGTTCAACGGTGTGAGGACAGGCTCATCTGCTACCCCTTCCGCGGGGCATTCCCGGTCTTTTGGTGAAAGAGGAGAAACTTGTCCCCAGGAGGGCTTGGAGTTACCATTTTAGAGGTAGGAGGGAAATGCCGAGAGATGAATGGCTAATACTTAGGAAACTGTACCAGTACTAGGTTCTCGAAAAAAATTAATCGTGTAATTAAGCATCGAATTGTGTCGTAAAACCAAGTGCGGGAGGCCTGGAGCCACAAGGGTGGGAGTGCTGCGGAGAGGGGTGGCCCGGGACACGGGTGGTGGCCGCGCGGAGGGCAGAAGGAAAGGCCATGGCAGCAGGCGGCAGGTGCGGGAACCCACCGAACACGGGAAGAGCCGAGGGGCCGGTGGTTCCCACGGGGGAGCGGGAGAGAGGACAAAGTCCCCTTCTGCAGCCTCCGCCGGACAAACGGGCGCCATGTGTCTCCTGACACAATTCGATGAGCAGGACACCCCGTCACATCTGTGGAATTCCTGCCAAAAACCCACCACCTGGATCTGATCATGAGGAAACACCAGACGAGCCGAAATTGAGACACAGTCTACGAAATCGCTGGCCTGGATTCAAGATCAAGAACAAGCAAGGCAGAGAAAGTGTTTGGGCTCGAAAGAACCTAAAGAAATGTGAGCACTAAATGCAAATGTGACCCTCATTAGATCCAGAATTGGGGAGGAAATAGCTAGAAAGGACAGTATTGGGACAAGTGCCCACCACGCCCAGCTAATTTTTCTATTTTTAGTAGAGATGGGGTCTCGCTCTTGCTCAGGCTGGTCTCAAACTCCTGCCCTCAAGCGATCCTCCTGCCTGGGCCTCCCAGAGTGCTGGGATTACACGTGTGAGCCACCGCGACCAACCTAATTTTTTTATTTTTTGTAGAAATGAGGTCTCGAGGTTTCACTTTGTTGCCCAGTTGGTCTAGAACTCCTGGCCTGCGCAGGAACCGCAATGCAGATTCAAGCTAAGGGCATATTAGTTGCCCTTAGGTTACTCTAGGTCACTTTCTAAATCCCATCATGCCTGGCTGGAGAATTCCCTAATTGATACAGCGTTCCCTCCTTCCCCAGGTGCAGCGGTTGCTGGGATGGGATTAAGGGTGGGGCAGCAGCACGATGGAGAGCCCGCCCCATCCTTCTTCCCAGGTGGGGCCATTGCTGGAGACAGCACCAAAGCAGGGCACCCTTGTCCCGAGAAGAGCCGGAGATGCTAACTATCTACCTAACAAATATATACAGTTTTTATTTGTTAATTAAATGAAAAATAAATAAAATTTTAAAAATGGCGGAAAGGTCACTTTGTACCTGTGCAACGCTGGGACATCAATGGCTGTTTTCTTCTCAGGCCTGTTTGTTCAAGGGCTGTTCGTTCGAGCCAGCTGACTCACTTTTCCATTCCTTCCTCCCTTGCTCATAACTGACTGCCTACTCCAACAACCACAGCTCACTGCAACCTCCTGGGCTCAAGCCATCCTCCCGCCTCAGCCAGGGACCACAGCGGTTTCGAATATTTAAAACAGTACCTACCATACGCACGGCTCTCATCAGCGTGGCCTCCTTGTCGTCCGCGGCCAGCGGTCCCCCAGGTGAAGGCCAGCGTCTATTCCGACTGCTCTGTCTGAGTGGCACCGGCTGTCAAATATTTTCACTTCCACCGCGGCACATATGTAATATATGAAGAAGAGTAATATAAACCCCTGTACATACCAGCTTAAGAAACAGAACATTAGGCCGGGCGCAGTGGCTCACGCCTGTAATCCTAGCTCTCTGGGAGGCCGAGGCGGGCGGATTGTTTGAGCTCAGGAGTTCGAAACCAGCCTGAACAAGAGTGAGATCCCGTCTCTACTAAAAAACTAGAAAGAAATTAATTGGACAACTAAAAATACATAGAAAAAATTAGCTGGGCATGGTGGCACATGCCTGTAGTCCCAGCTACTCAGGAGGCTGAGGCAGAAGGATCACTTGAGCCCAGGAGGTTGAGGTTGCTGTGAGCTAGGCTGACGCCACGGCACTCTAGCCCGGGCAACACAGTGAGACTCTGTCTCAAAAAAAAAGAAACAGAACATTAAAAAAAACTTTCAAAAGCATTTTAAATTGATAAAACATTTGCGCCATTAAAAATTCAAAGTAGGAAAAGACATCCGGTGAAAAGGTATCCATTGTCTCGGCTGCCCCAGTCCCAGTGCTGTGAGCAGCTTGTGTATCCTTTCAGAGATTTATGTAGACACAAAAAATTATGTATATGTATTGTGTTTCCTTTTTTCCCAGATGGTAGCATATAATACACACTGTTACGTTCCTTTCTTTTTAACTTAACACCGTATCCTGGAGATTTCTCCGCTTCAGTGCACAAAGAGCTCTCTTAGCCTATTGTGAAAAGCTGGGTCCTTCGCTGGGCGGCTGTACTATAATTGACTTATTTAATCCTCTCCTGATGACGGGCAAGATTATTTACAGACACGGGCTATTATAATCAATAACTGTGTGTGTACTCACTGCACAAATAGGCCAGTATATCTGCAAGATAAATTCTTAGAGGTGGAACTGCTGGGTTGGGGGTACATCGTAACAGTGTTCCCTAGGTATGCACATGTATCTGTGAGATAAATTGCCAGAAGTAGAACTGTGGGGTCAGAAAGCATGTGCATCTGTAATCTTTAGCGAGATCGTAATACAGCTCACTAGGGTTGCATAAGCAATATGAAAGCGCCTTTTTGACCTAAAAGGAATATTGCTCAACTTTCAGTTCTTTTCTCACTTGGCAGCTGAAAGTGCTGACTCAGGTAGCTTTATTTTACATTTCTTCCATTACGAATGAGATTGAGCATCATTTTCTATATTTAAGAGCCATTTGTGTTTCCTTTTCTGTAACTGTCTGTATCTTTTTCTGGTTTTCCCAGGGGATTTGGTGGTCATTTCATTGATTTGCAAGAGCTTTTTACATATGAGAGGAATTTGCCCTATGTGATACGGAATGTTCTTTATTTTTCATTTGATCTTTCTGGGTCATGGTGCTCTTCCTGAACGTCTTCCACACGCTTGGCACTTGGGACTTAGGATGCTAAAGGGGCCCCTGGGATGACCCGGCCCCAGCCCTAAAGTTGCTGACCACTGCCCACACGTCCCCTGAAACGCCTGTTCACGGCGGCAGTCTTGTCATCCCTCTCCCCTCCCCTCTGGCAGGCATCACGTGCCCTACCCCCACATCCGTGGAACATGCAGACATCCGTGTCAAGAGCTACAGTGTGAACTCCAGGGAGCGGTATGTGTGTAACTCAGGTTTCAAGCGCAAAGCCGGCACGTCCAGCCTGACCGAGTGCGTGTTAAACAAGACCACGAACACCGCCCACTGGACGACTCCCAATCTCGAGTGTATCAGTAAGTAGCCAGCCCCACACTGTGCCGACCCCCGCCAGGGCTGCACGGACAGCAGAGCCGGGCTTGGGGGCCCCAGAGATCTGTATGGAGGTCTGAGGCCAGATACACCAGTGGGACCCCAAACGACACCTGCTGGCGTTGGAAATACACACGTGTTGGTGCCACACAGTTCTGGGCTCACATCCTGGCTCTGCCACCTACATCCTCCAGGCCTTGGGCAAGGCCCTTCCTTCGCCTCTTGGAACTCTGGTCAGTCATCCAGAAAATGGCCCTGATGCCAACACTGTGGGCTGGAGGAGGATTAAGTGAAGCCTGGTAAACATTAACCACTATTACCATCGATGCTTAGTTTTGAGATTAGGATGATGAGACAGCCTGGGCAACATAGTGAGATCCCATCTCTGTAAAAATAAAATGAAATAAAATAACTGGGCATGGCGGCACACGCCTGTAATCCTAGCCACTTGAGAGGCTGCGGCAGGAGGATGGCTTGAGCCCGGGATTCAAGGCTGCAGTGAGCTATGATCGCACAACTGCACTCCAGCCTGGGAGACAGAGTGAGACCCTATCCCCCAAAAAAATTATAGTAGCAGGAGGATTTGGCTAGGACCAGGGTGCATGCTCACAGGCATGCCTGCGTCCCAGAGAGCTTTCCGGTTCCTCAGCAGGAGGCGGATGCGGGTATGTTGTGTGGTGTCCAGCAAGGAGGAGGGCGGCAGCAAGAACCCGCTTTTCTGTTTAACCCTCCGCAGCCGGGTAAACATCCCAGAAGCCAAACACTGTCATGGTGGGGGCCGTTCAGTGTTTCTAGGAACACTCAAGCCCTCTCCTGCTCCCCTCTTCCTTCCTCTAGAAAAATAAAGATGAACCCACAGTCATTGTCTGCGCACTGCCCTGGGGCTGTGCCACGGCATGCTGGCCCCCTCCAGCCTTGTCCCTGTCATCCTCCCTGGATGAGTCACCCAGGCACCAGAGGGAAGGCAGGGAGGAAGCCCTTCCACTGGGGCTGGGGACGCAGCGCCCAGGCGTGGGGGCAAGAGAAGGGGGGGTCGGCGCGGCCGAGAGCAGCATCCCTGGGAGCCGGGGGGTGTCTTCCTGCACCCAGGCCTGGGACTCGGGCTCCTCCGCAGGGAGAGTCACGTCTCCTCCGAGCTCCGAGGGCTGCAGGCTCTGAACGGGGCCAGGAGGGAGGAGGAAAGAAGAGAACCCGGAATCCGGGTTTTAGTGCCCCGAGACTGGGGGAATGTTCAGGTTTCCTCTAGTCCAAAGGGTCGCCCCACCTTCTGACCACTACAAACTCCCTTCATTTTTTTCCCAAACTCTTGTGCTTTGGAGAGATTTATTTCTGCTAAACAAACAGAATCTATCGAGTGATCATTTATCTTCCCATGAAAAACCAGTCTTACCAAATTGGGTTGATACCAGTTCAGCCAAAAATAAAAAGAAATTTGATATTTAACTTGCACCGTCTTTTTGGAAATGCTAGAAAAATAGTTTGCAGTCTGTCTTGGCATTCGGGCTGGGAAACATCCATTGTTTCTGTCCCGTGCTTCCAACCTGTCCTAGGAAGCCGAATCTCTCCACCGTAAACGTACTGACATATTCTGTGTGTCCAGTTCTGACGCCACCGCGGGCTCCACGCGTAGGATCGTAAACGCCGTGTGGTTATCCTCTCTCTAGGAGACCCCTCCCTGACTCACCAAAGGCCAGTGCCGTTCTCCACAGCAACACCGGCAAGGGTGGCCCCACAGCCAGAGAGCCCCTCCCCTTCTGGAAAAGGTAGGAATGTTGGAAACTTTCTGAGGACTCCGGTTCAAACCCTCCCACCGCCCAGGCCATCCCCCCGACAATCCCACAGGTTCACGGACCCCCGCCCGTGTGCCACTGCGGATTTAGGCAGCAGCACAAACGTTTTTATTCAAGTCAAGGATCAGAATTTCCAGTGGCTTGATTTTCTTTCTGAAATCAAAGTTGCTTGATATCCAGGCTGCATACGGACGTGACGAATAGTGGTTTAAAGCGCGCTGTTCATGTGTCAGGTCATATTTAGTTGGAGATTCTTGTCCTCACTGAGAACCAGAAGTGGTCTGAGCTTTGACCCCACTTGCGTGTTGGCTCACCACGGTTTCACGGGTGCTGGCAGAAAAGGTGACACTGCCAGGTGGGAGACCAGGCAGCAAGAGCTTCGGCACGTTTGCCTCAGTTCCCTTGTCCCCGAGCCCGCGGGGGCAACGCGGATGTGCCTGAACAGGTGCCCGTCCGCTCAGCGGGCTGCGCTGCAGGAGGGGAGCCCGGCTCCGGGAGCCCGACTCCGGGAGCCTGAGCGTTTCATCCTGGGCAGTGAACACGCCTGCTCTTTGCTGCGGCGGAGACGTTGTTCCCCCTTCCAAGGCACTTGCTATAGAAGCATCCAGAGAAGTGCTGGACCTCACGTTCCCTAAAACCCTCAGCCACTCTGTCTGCAAGATGCGCAGAATGTAAGAGACCCATGGGGAGTTGTCCCCAAATCCTACACACTAGCAAATTCATGGTGACTGCTCTATCGAGCAGCATCGCGTGAAGCTGCTGGTGTTCTGTAGATTGACAGTCTTAGGTAATCTTCCAGCGCGATTTCCTCAGCACTTGCTCAATGTTAAGAAAATGTGAAATGTGAGATGCCAAATGCCCTGGGATAACATGCCCCGCATCCCACGATACTTTGTTCCACGTTTAGCTCTCGGTTTTCGTGCCACGTCACCCGGTCCGTGGCTCTCCCTGGCCTGAGTCTCCTCCTGCCCCCAGGTACAGGCACGTCTGTTGGCATCATTCCGCCAGTGCAGCCCCCTCTCCCGGAGCGTTGGTTCTCGGTCTGGGGTGTGCACTGACATCAGCATGGATGTCCAGCTGGCCTGGGGGGCTGGCTGGGAATCGGGGGCTCTCATAGCCCCCCAGGTGGCTCTTAGGTGCCTGAGGACTGCACTCGATGGGGGAGGGAGAGGCTGGGCAGAGGTTTCCCCTAGCGAGTGAGCTGCTGCATGCAGATGGGGGAGGGCTCAGGTGCTGGCTCCATTTAAACCTGGAGCAACGCAACCTGGAGCAACGCCCAAACGCCTTTGATCTGGCCACGCCTGACTCACCCAAGCCTGGTCAGGTGTCCATCACTGAGACAAAGCCGCTGTCAAGAGCTCAGACATGCGAGAGCAGGGACTGGCATGACCATGCGATGCTCTGATGGGCTCTGTCTGCAGGGCGCCCCAGAGGGCTGGCAGTGGGGCGGGGTGAGGGCACCTGGGAGTCGGGGACAGAGGATCAGGGGTGTAAGGGCTTCTCCCAGCGTGTATGGCCAGGGGACCTTGGGAACATGGGCCACAACAGCATGTACAGAGAGCCGCGGGGCTGGACCTCACGTTCCCTAAAGTCTGTGTCTGCCACGACAGAAGGTCCATTTCTCGTGGAAAGGGAATCACGAACAGTTGTGCCACAGCTTACAGTCCAGGGGCGGCCACCTGCCAGGGAGGGACGAGGAAGACAAGGCAGCCCTTCCTGAGACTGGAGCTAAGTCAGGGCACTGTCCTCAAATACACCCCGTCTCAGGTTTCCCCTTATTTCAAAAATGTGCCAACTTACATTTTACATGATACAGTCAGCGTCCGAGCTGTTGCTGGCAAACGCAGCTCCCTGTGTGACTTGGGCTGAGTCGTTCCTGTTTGACGTGCCTTCTCCAGTAAACAGGCCTGAGCTACTCAGATCTTTGGAGCTTTTCTTCCTATGTGCCCCGAGAATCCCGTGTTCTGTGGGGTCAGCACCAGTGCCGCAGCCTCTCCAGGTGGATGGACACGTAAGGGAGCGGTTTGCCAGGGAGGGCTGGCCAGGGTGGCCTCTCTGGAGCCACTCCCCAGTCCCCCCTCTGCAGGAGCCGAGCAGAGACGAGTCTAAATATTCACGTTCTCCCCGTCTTGGAATTTCCTGCTGCAGCTTCATCTCCCAGGTCAGACACCACAGTGGCCACAGAGACGGCCATTGCACCGCGCTCCCCCTCCAAAGCGCCCTCCGCAGGACCCACAGGCCCGGGCAGGCGGGAGTCCTCCCGGGCCCCCTCTCAGACCACTGCCGGGACCTCGGCAGGCGCGCCCTCGGCCTCCCACCAGCCACCAGGTCAGCACTCGCTAGCTCCGCGCCAGGGGAGGCCGGGTCGCAGGTGCTGCTTCCGGGATCTGGGCTGAGCTCTGGCGCCAGACAACACACAGCTTTACGCCAGCCCCAAGCCGGGCTGACCTTGCCCCAGCCCCCGGGCCTGGCTTAGTCCAGCGGGGATAGCTAGAAAGCAAAGCCCACCTCCGGACATGACTCGGCAGCCTTCTCTGCCTGCACGGGGGGCCCTGTGCCGAGACTGGGAGTAACGCCCGCTTCCCCCATGGTGGCGGGGAACAGAAGTGCTCCGCAGCCCGGAGCCGAGATCTAGGGGGCAGAGCAGCTGTTGTAATCTGGACCTTCTCTAGGGCATATGCGAATCTGGGTTTTTTTTTGAGACAGAGTCTCGCTCTGTCGCCCAGGGTGGAGTGCAGTAGCATCATTGTAGCTCACTGCAACCTCAAACTCCTGGGCTCAAGTGATCCTCCTGCCTCAGCCTCCTGAGTAGCTGGGATTATAGGCGCGCACCACCACGCCTGGCTAATTTTCTATTTTTATTAGAGACAGATCTCACTTTTGCTCAGGATGGTCTCAAACTCCTGGCCTCAAGCGATCCTCCCGCCTGGGCCTCCCAGAGTGCTGGGATTACACGTGTGAGCCACCGCAGCCACCCCGATTCTTAAGTGTGGCCCAGAGCCTCAGTCAGTCACCCTGCCTGTTCCTTGCTAAGACAAGCGTGCTTATGCCAGCTGCCAGTGTCCCACCGTGCTGAGATGGGAACCAAATTGTCCGCGATTTCTCCTGCTTCGTGAGAAACTGTGCCTTTGGGACCCAGCTGTGACCCAGCTCACTGTCCTCTCTCCTCCGCAGGTGCTAATCCATTCAGCTCCAGAGAAGCCACCGGTAAGTATTTCCCTTAGTCCAGCGTGTTTGTGATCAGTGTGGTAAATAGTAGATGCTCACATATTGCACGAGTGAGCCAATGATTAAGTGAGTGGGAAGGCTCCCATGTTTTAATAAATATTTAAGAAATGTGGTTCATAGTTTCATCGTCTTAACTATCTCCTGCCTCACTTGGCAGCCCTTTCTATGGATAACTTTACACAGTTATTCCAATATCTGATCTCACATCCCTGTCCTTGAAGACTCCTGATTGTAGAATAAAAGGTCAGGATGCAGCATTTACACCAGCACATTCATGTGCTACCCAGGAGGGAGGAGTTTGTTGTTCAGAATGGCGTTAATGCCTCTAGTCTTCCATATCTGGGATAGATTGCTGCAGTCCACGTGCTCAGCCTTTGACAGGAGCTACCGCTATGAGGTGTCCTTTGGCCGTTCATTGCATATAAACTGGGTTCCCCTTCTGTGCCAGGTGCGGTCTTGAGCTGATAAGAAATGGGTGTTTGTCATTAAAATGCAAATGTCACTTTAAATTTACTTCCACGTGTGGAACCGTAAAGGCTTAATTCAATCCAGTAAGTACTTAGTGAGTATCTACTCCAAACCAAACACTGACAACGTGCTTCGTGCAGTAAGAATTAGAAAAGAAGCCACTATCCAGAGTCATGCGTTGACGCTCTCCCGTCAAAACCACCTTGGCCACAGGCACTCTGGTCACAGCCACGCCGGAGCTACCGCCCTGGTTGGCCAGGGTGGTGCTAAGGGATGACTGCTCTCTGCACATTCCCAGAGGACCCTTTGAGCATCTCTGCCACACGCTGCCACTGGCTGTCTCTACTGCCCTCTCGGTGCCGTAGCCGTCTGCACTGCCCGCTGAGCAGGGGGAGCCCAGGCCTCCGTGGCCTCCAGGAGGATAATCAATCCCCCACTACCACCTTCCTCCCCTCTTCTTTTTTTTTCAGACAGAGTCTGGCTCTGTTGCCCTGGCTAGAGTGAGTGCCGTGGCGTCAGCCTAGCTCACAGCAACCTCCAACTCATGGGCTCAAGCGATCCTCCTGCCTCAGCCTCCCAGGTAGCTGGGACTACAGGCATGCGCCACCATGCCCGGCTAATTTTTTTTTTTCCTATATATATTTTTAGTTGTCCAGATAATTTCCTTCTATTTTTTTTTTTTAGTAGACACGGGGTCTCGCTCTTGCTCAGGCTGGTCTCGAACTCCTGACCTCAAACAATCCACCCGCCTCAGCCTCCCAGAGAGCTAGGATTACAGGCATGAGCCACCGCGCCCGGCCAACTTCTCAATCTCACCAAGTCTCTTCCTCTGCTTTTCCTCCAGTCCACACACCCCCAGGAAACACAAAAGGGTGGAGAACTGGGCAGGACCTTTTAATTCATGGTCTGGTGACTCTGGTTTCAATTCCTTTCTAAATTTACCGGGTTGTAGTTGAGAGAGGCTATGGCCCTAGAGGGCAGGCTGTGAATTCGACCCTTTGTTTTGCCCTTGACTGAGGAGCCAGCCCTCTTCTCTCTCCAGTTTGACTCTGCAGTTTTTATTCTTATTTAAAAAGAAACAGGAAGCAGCCTTGTGAAAGGAGAACCACAGTTTACAGCAACTTGCCTTTTCCAATAAATCACTGCGTAAACAGTCAGTGCCTGCCAGGCTCACTAGCTGATGTCGTCACACGATTTACGGTAGGGTGCATCTCTGCTGGAAAAAAATGCTTTTCTTAGTCGTGTGATCATGAATGTTAAGTCTGAAGACAATATTTTTCATTAATTTCTCATGTTTTCTGTTATTTCTTTGGTAACAACTTTTCTCTTACCTACAAGTCATTTTGTTTTGTTTCTATTTTATTGTTTCTTCTAATTAGAGTGTGATTGCAAAACTATGAGAAAAAGAACAGAAACATTTTTTACATTGAAAATAAAGATTAGCTACTTGTACTCTATAGAGATACACAACTATTCTATATCATAATAGGCAGAGGAAGAGATTTGGTGAGACTGAGAGGAGGGGAGGAAGGAAAGTGAAAGTAAAAATATATATATTTCTTAAAAAGAAAATAAAGATTATCTATAATCCCACCACTCCTGCTATATATTCCTCTAGACTTTTCTGTGCATATGGTCACGCACACAGTTTCTTGGAGATTATTTTGGGTTCATTTGTATCCCAGCCACCTTTTTTCACTTGCAATATTGTAGACTTCTTTCCATGTCAATAAATGTAGATCTATTTCATAATTTTAATAGTTGAATAGTATTCCATTGTATGGGTATCTATCACATTTTATTTAACTGATTTTCTTTTGGTAAGAGATTTAGATTAACATCCTGAAAATTATCTTAAACAATACTTGAGCGGATACCCCCGTATATATTTCTCTATTCCCTTAGAATAAACTCCTGGCGGAATTGGAGGGTCAAAGGGAATGGGCTTTTGTTATGTGTTGCAAACTGCCCTTGAGAAAAGTGGCATCACTTCATGCTCCCAGCCGCAGAGGTCCTGAGTGTTCCCTCATCCTCACACCCGGCTGTTTCCAGTAGTGTTGTGTTGGAAGGCCGAGCCCGGGGACATTTATCCTGGTGGATGTATGAGGCGTGGCCTGGCGGTCGTGCAGGCGAAGGCCCCCAACACCCCCACAGTCCATGAGACGTGTGTGGTCCGTGGTCCTCAGGAAGCTTGTGCTGTTCGGATGTCAGCGCTGTCGTCTTGCACATACGGCAGCTGGGTGATTTTTGCAAGAGATTTCACGATAGGCAAACTGGCCAAAGCTGCAAGCGTTTTTAACAGTAGTTCTGTCCCCCTGCCCTCGGGCTAAGCCCCCTTGCTCACGAAGACCCCCCTCTTCCCGTCCTGTCTGGGAAATCTCAGGTGTCCCCCGAAGTGCCCCAGTGCTCCAGGCTGCTTCTTTCAGCTGGGTCAGAACAGTCCTAAATTCTTCCCTTCCCCTCCTCTTACCTGCAACACCTCTCTTAGAACGCCTTTTCTGCTCCTCCTCTGTCATAAAAAGTTGCCCGCTCTTCTGCCTCCTCCTCCTCAGCCCCTCGCCCCGGCTTTGGCCGTCAGGCTCTTGCTGTCCCCTCCTGACCTGCTCCGGCCTCTGCTCTGTCACCCAGGAGCTTTGCCTGGTAGGGTGAGGACGAGGAGCAGGGTGAGGGGTGACCTGGATGGGGACAGTTGCAGCCGGCAGTGTTGGCAGGAAAGGGGGGCGTATTTTTGCCCAGACGTAGGATAGAGGGAATAGCGTGGCTGCCAGAAACGCGAACTGCGGGAAGCCGGTTGGGAAAAACGCCCGCCGTAAAGGATTCCGGTTGCGGCAGTGAACCTTCCTGGGACTCTCGTGGTCTGTTCTCTTGCAGTGACCATCTCTACTGCCGCCGTCCTGCTGTGCGTGCTGAGCGGGGCTCTGCTGGCCTGTTGCCTCAAATCAAGGTGAGTAGCGCGGGAGACTCACGCTGGCCAGGTCCGTCCTTCCCCGTGAGAAAGGAGCCACATCATGACGATGCCGACGCCCCCTCGGGAAGGATCCCTTTCCTGGCCGCGGACTCTCACACTCCCCTTCCCCGACCCCAGAGCCGGAGCGCGCCCTTCCCCGCCCACAGAGCCGTCAGAAATGGGGCAGCAAGAGCCGGACCGACGATCCCGGGGTCCAGGCCACCAAGGGCCAGTTCAGAAAGAAACAGTGCGCCAAATGGCCAAGCTGACGAGTGTGCGACTGGAACGCGTTTGTCCCAGAGGGTTGGCAAAGCCGGGGCGGGGGTGAGTTGCTCCAGCAGCATCGTAAACCTTTGGTGGACGATGAGGTTGAAAATACCCAAACAGGATTTAAAGCACTCTGTGAACGCAGGCAGTGTAGGCTCTCCCCACGTCTGAGGACTGAGTGTTTCATGACTGTCATGATCCACCCGGTGCTGTGCGTACGCGTTTGATAGGAAGTATCTGCTGATTTGAGGGCAACCCTCTCCTCTTTTCCAAACCTGCGAATCATCTACTTTGCAGGCGAACTTCCCGGCCGAACAACATTGAGATGGAAACCATGGAAGCTCAGCCGATGACCAGCAGCAGAGAGGAAGACACGGAAACCAGCCCACACCACCTCTGAATCCCAGGCGAGACCGGCCCGGCCACGCCTGCAGGGAAGAGCCACTCTGCTTTAGCTAGAGAAGACTGAGGAGACACGCAGGGCAGTGGGCACAGGAGCAAGCCCACCAGGATAACCACACGCCCCTGGTGTGATCCCACCACCTGTGCCCGGCCTGGGTGTCTCCAGGACCAGCAGGTTCTCCAGCGTGCAGATGGATGCCACCCGCCCGCCCGCCCACCGCAGGGCCCGGCTTCCCAAAGTCCGAGCAGCTGAAGCTCCCCCGGGAGAGGCTGGAGGATTCCGGGCAGGGCTTTTATTTCATTGTGACACGTATTCAGGACAGCTCATCGCTGGACTGTGTGTTCCAGCCCTCATCCTGACTTGCAGTTTACAGAGAAAAGTAAAACTGAGGCTCTCAGCTACGAAGCTCCTCCTGGCTTGGGAGACGTCTACGGGGAAGACTCCAGCGTCTGAGCTCCCACGACACTGTCTGCAGCCGCCCCGCGTGTGCTGAAGCGGGGCCCAGAGAGGCAGAAGGGACGCTGGGCCCAGTGAATCCTCTTGATTGAAGGGTCAGAAAGAACAAAACAGAACTCACCGACATTTTACATGTATATGCACTTATATTTATACTTGTCTGTTATATCTACATATTGTATATGATTTGCATTTTGAAATTGTGCCTTGTAAAAATAAAATATCTATTTTCAATATTTAAAAAAAGTACTGAAAGAATCACCAAGGAGAAATGTTCCACAAAGGAAAAAGAGGAGAAAGAACGGGGGATGCAGAGTCCGGAGGGACTGGGCTCAGGTTTTCTTCCTGCAGGACAGAGGGCCTTGGCTGGAGCTGGCTCAGGTCACGGTTTGGGGAATTTCCGACAGAGTCTCCGTGTGAGAAGCAACGTGATCTGTTCTATGCGCAGCGAGATTTGGCCCAGCTCCGCTTGGTGCGCGCACTGTCTCTTCCCTGCCTCTGCGCTCTTCTCTTTTTCTTTCTTTGCTGTTTTTGACATTTATTTCTAAAATCCGAGGCCTGATCCCACCTCCTCAGTTTATAGATGAGAAAGTTGAGACGTGGAGAAGTTGACCCGCCCACAGCCACGCAGCTCAGTCAGTGCCAGAGCTGGATCCGAACTTGGAGTGGAAGTGGGGAGAGGGGGGAGCCGTCCTGACTGTGCACAGCTGCCCCTCACACAGCGGGGGAAGGGGGACCCCTGCAAGCACTGGGGAGATGGGGCACGGGCACGGCACCCAATTCCCATGCGCCAGATGCTCTCAAAGTGCCATTTCTGTCTTCTGCACGTCGGCAGTTAGGAGGGTTTCATCAAGACCAAAGGAAGCTGCTTGGGCTTCCTCAGAGCATAGTGGTCTTAGACGGCCAGAGGGACTGACAGCAAGTGGGAACTGCCAGGCCTCTGAAAGCCTAGGCTGGACACGCACACATCACTTACGTGCATCCTGTAGGTCAGAGCAAGTCACAAGACCAGCGCAGATTCAAGGTTGGGGGTATGACAGAAGGGGGGGAAGGAACCAACGGAAGCTGTCTTTGGTGACCGTCTACCATACTTTTCAGGGCCACTGGAAGCGTCACTTACCTTTGGCTGTCTCTAAATGCCAGTAAACACTGGATGGGCGGATGAATAGAGAGACCTGGGGCCCAGTGTCTGCAGGAGCTGGGAAGAGTCCATCCTTTTGGTTTTTATTTTGAAATAGAAAAAGTACCCAGAACTCCAAAGGGTTTAAAGTTCTACAGCTGCTAAGCCCTCAGCCCAGATGTCTTCACCGGCCCACACATCTAAGCAATGCACATTCCCCCTTCCCTCCCTTCCCGCCCTCCGCAACCTTCGCCCCGAGGAGAACGATGCTTCGCCTTTTTAATTTTGCCTTGATTTTCCTTGATCAAGAAATAAGACTCTTTCACTCTCTTTTTGTACCCTCCTCTAGACGTTAGGAAGTAGGAGAACAGGGCCTAGAAGACACACTAAGGACCTCTCCACGTTTCCGACTACCCACCCTCTGTCTTCCTCGTTTACCTTTTCAGGCTATTTCTGGGGGAATCTGGTTTACGCTTCCCTCCCTGAGTGCTTGTCTGTACGCCCACCCATTCTAGTCTTCCTGTCCTTAGCTATCCAGGACACAACACCCCCCTCTGCGGCTTGGAGGCCCCCCATTGTGCTGGAGCGGCTGCCTCATGCCCCCCAGCACAGAGGGCGACAGCCCCTGCCCCTGCCCCACCAGGGCGTGGGCACCCGGCCGGGGCTCGGCCGTCGGGCCTCACCCAGGGCTAGAAGCTATTGGACGCGACAGTTTACAGAGCAGCGCCCAGCAAGGCCTCGGAACCATCGAAACGAGACCGCTTTGGTTCCAACCCATTTTCTGCACCTCGTCCTCCAATTCCCTGTGACTCTGTGAGGCCGCCATATCCTTCTGATACATTTTCTTTTTCTCTTTATAACAGATTTTGTTTCCACTACTTGTCCCTGGAAAGTTCCTATTAATACGGAATCTGGTACCAGAGTGGGTTTTGCGAACTGGACGCAGCAGGGAAGTGAGGACTGTCCGGGCACCTGCCTGAGGGGTCGGAGGGGGCGACGCTCTGCTGTGGCTTGGGTGGGGGTGTGGCCTTGGGTGGGGGTGCGGCCGCCCGCCGCGCTGGGAACAGCTCATGGAAGCTCCCGCATGGCATGGCCCCCGGACGCCGGCTCTGGGAGACCTGTCGCTTCCATCCTAAAATGGTACGGGAGGGAGAAATCCAGGGCCACAGCGGGTGGCTCCTTTGAATGGCATTCAAGCACTCAGAAGAGAGAGTAACAAGCTCAAGTCGCTCAGGTCTCCGTTAAAGCCAGGGGCTGAAACCTAGAAACTTCCTCCTCCACGCAACGCGCGACCACGAGATCTGAAAGCCCCGCGTCGGAGCCTGAGCCTCCGCGCAGTGGAGGAACACTGGCGGACGTCCGGCCCGCAGGTTCCCAGCCGAAAGCCGAGGCTGAGGCCCTCATCCTCATGGTGCGGGAATGAAAGTGCGGGGAATCCGGAGGGCTCGCGGGACCCCCCACCCTCTCCCGTCCTGGGAAGCAGCCCCGTTTTGTCTGGTCACCTGTAACGTGTCTTCCTGGGTTGAGGAGTCACCTTGCAAGAGTGACATGGGGAGGGAGCTTTCCGGAGTCACCGAGAAAGCAGCCTGTTCATCTGGAATGAGCTCCCCAAGGCCGTGCGGGACCTGCCACGTGAGCCTCCACCTTGCTGTCCCCTGCCTTCCACTCAGGCACAGGGCGAACCTTCATTCCTTCCCCATCCCCGCTACACCCACTCTGCTTCGAGAGCTGGCTCCAGTTTCCCTCCTCCAGGGCCTTCACTAACTACTCAGACGTGGAAGACTGCCCGCCTCTGGCCCTCGAGACATTTACTATCCGTTCCAGGAGTGCGGCATCTGCCAACACCGCCTTTGCACAGTGGCAGGAGTATGGACTTAGGAGGCCTAAGAGTCAAGCTACCATCCTGCCACTCGCTGGCTCTGTCACTGGCACGAGGCAATGTCAGTCCTCATAGCTCGTCTTTAATGTGGGGGTGACGGCCCCTGTGTCACCTTTCTCACAGAGACATGAGGTGACACGAGATATTGGCGTGTGTCTCCCCTCTCGCTAGACACCGGCGATGCTGACACTTAAGACCTGGCACTTATCCTCAAGGAGCCGCGGCCTGGCCGAAAGGAGAAGACACGTCGAAGCAAACACAAACGAAACCCTAGACCACAAGTTAGCGGACAACAGATGCCACGAGGCGCAAACACCCCAGGCCCAGTAAAGGCGGGAATCTCTGAAAGGCCCGGATGCGGAGGAGCGCAGGCACAGGAGCTGGGAGGACGGTGGAATTTAAATAAATGCGCAGGAACCTTCTAAACAGGAGGAGATACAGGCAAAGATGCAACGGGAGAGCGACGGCGCGTTCAGGAAAGCAGGAGCGAAGCAGCCGTGACAGCCGGAGTCGGACACGGAGGCTCGTCCTTGTCATACGAGCCCCACACGGGCTCGGTAACTGGGGATTAAACAAAACCAAAACCAGGACAAAGGTCTTACGAGAACTGATGCAACCAGCAAAACCTGGGAACCCGGCTGGCCAGCCACTCCCTTCTGCACACGCCTTTCCCGGGAACACAGTGCTTCTCTTTCTGGGGCTGTTTCCTCACTTCTCCGGGCAGACAGCCCAACACCCAATCACGAAGGCGTGTGCTCTTCAAAACCTGCTTTGAGATCATGCAGCCCAGGTTACCCGAGTGGCTCCATGACTACCTGCAGGTGGCTTTGGTGTCTTCCACGTGCTCCTAGAAACCAGGGAGGCTCCAGAAGCACCCTGGGGGCCGAGGGTGGCGAGTGTACAGAGAATGCCAAGTGCTCCCGCCCCGCCTCGCCCCATCCTGAACGATCACAGCAGCTACACTTTTTAATTGGAAACAAAATTTGGTTTGAAGAATTCCATGGCCAAGGACATCTGGAAGCTTTCTATGCTTTGGTTTAATGTGATTCTGCTGAAGAATTCTAATTCCAACTCTTCACACAGTGGTAGTGGAAACACCCCAGTCTGGGGATTGGCCTTGAGTTTTTGTCCAAGCTCTACTCCGTGTGACACTGAGAGCACTGTGGTCCCGGTCCAGTGGCTCTTTGGGATCCTGTTCCATCACCGGTGAAAGGTGGCTGTCATCAGCCTCCCAGGTTCCACGTTAGGACAAAATGAAACCGCATACACGAAAGCCTGGTGCTGTCCACCCGCTAGGAAGGAAGCACTTAATAAATGCCAGCTTTGTTTCTTCAATGAGATCTGCACACGGGACGATCAGACACTGGTGCCCGCCCCTCCTTCTCAAGCGAATTCTTAGCAACAGCGCTGAGCCAGAGACGAGCCCCTGCAACCAGCCCCCCTCTGGACTCCCAGGCAGAGTCAGAACGTTTTATGTTTAACACCCTCGAGAGTTCTCCTTTGGGGCGATGGAAAATGTGATGTCATAAGACCCTAAACTGTGGAGCTGGCTGAGCTGGGAGGCAGGGCCCAGGGCGAGGGCCCTCCTGCCTTTGTTATGGGGTGTGAAGCCACTGATCCAAGTGTGACCTGTGACCATGGGTCCAGATTAGGAAAATTATATTAATATGAGGAAAATGATTACTACAAACAAAAATCCAGAACCTTGGACTTGTACATTTCAAAAAGGAAGAAAAACACCCGGGAAGTTAATGCTGTGTCGGTGTCCTGGGGCCCTCAGCGAGGTCCTTAGAAGGTGGCCTTAGGGCGAAGAAGGCCGGCCTGGGAGTGGAGGGGAGGCCCTGGCTTTTCCGCCTGCGTCCAACCCAGACTGACACTGCAGTCTGCAGCAAAGCCCTGCGGGGTTCTAAGCAGGAGGCCGACATGACTTCGTCTTCCTTCTAAGATCACGCATCTTTCTATACGAGAGTGACAGACATGGGCCAGAGCAGGGTTCAGGGAACGACCATGGCCACAGCCCAGAGCAGGGAGGCAGCCCAGGTCAGAGGGGCTGCCGATGACTCAGAGTGAAGGGAAGAAACACAGGCGGACGGGGCTGCCCAGGCCTGGGGGAGGGGCCTGAGGGAGCCAGTGGCAGGGGGAGAAGTCAAGAGCTGTGTTTGGAGATGGCTAGTCTGGGACATCACGAGGACGTCAAACGGAGCTGAGCAAAGAGGCCAGACATTTGCACCAGAAGCTCCGTCTCTCCCATCCAGCCCACCTTTAGCTGAGGCCACTAGAGACACACACAACTGCTGGTGAGGAGGGATACAGGGCAGCACCCACTGGGCTCTCCTGCTGACGACCTACCCCCTTAGTGAGGCTAAGCTGCGTCTGAGTCCCCCGTTTGCCGTCTGGGGTAGGGGCTGAAATTTCTATCTCTAGCAAGTTCCCAGGTGCTGCTGCTGCTGTTCCTCGGGGGACCACACTGAGAACGGCTCATGTCTGCGTCTGGTCCTCCCGCACCAGCCCCCCACAGGAGCCTGGGTCCAGCCCCTCCACTGCCATTTCCTGCTGAGATGACAATCACTAAAAGCATCCCCAAACTACAACTGGGAAGATCTTAAAACAAAGACCCAATGTCAGAAGATTGTGGACTCTGCCTGGCTCGGCTCGGAGACGACGTGGTGAATTCTCTGGGTGATGCCGTGTAGACCCCTCTGCTGGCCATCACCGTCCTGAAACCGCTGAAGGGCAAAAGTGTCAACTGCCACGTCCATGGACATCTACACGATGTATTTTCAATGGTGGTTTCTGTAAAAATGCGTAAGTTTCATTACAACATCCTCCCAGCGTCCCAGAGCCCAGTGATCTAGGCGCCAGCTCCCCACGTCTCCCTGCTGACCCCCTCCGCAGCGGTGGCCACCTGCACGTTCCCTCTCAGCAGGACACGTCTAGCCACCGCCGCTCTGTACCTGTCTTTTTATTTATGTGGCCTCCCTAATTTAAACGTGTGCCCCATGATGACAAAGGCACACGCTACGTCTTATGTGTGTGACTCCCCACAACACCAAAGCTCACTTTGATGTGCCAGCCACTGAATGTCTCAGACTCCGCTTGGTCCATCAGTGAACAGCAGCCGAACTACTCAGTGGAGTACACGGGAAAAAGACAGAGTTGGAGAAGGTTCGAGAACAGTGCCGAAGCCAGACGCCACACTGCGTTATGCCAGTGCTACAATGCCTGTTTAATTGAAACCTTGTAATAAAAGTTTAAATACATAAAATGTTTTTTTATCAAAAGAACACCTCCCGCTTGCCCAGCCTGGTGCGTGAGGACAGGCAAGTGGGAACTGGCTGTCTGTGGGGGGGCAAGGTCCAGCTCCGGCGCGTTTCTTCTTCCTCAGAAGACGCTCCGTGGATGGGCTCGGAGTCCCGGGTGGCGGGCACCCACCCCACCCCACACGGGCTCTCTTCAGCACGTGGGTCCGCGGTAGCTCTGCGCCGCGGCCTCAGAAGACGAGGAAGAGCAGGGCCTCGTGCCTGGGCAGCACTATGTTCTCCACGGTGCGTTCCATGGCGCGCACCTGCTCCGGGGAGGCCGTCAGGAACGCCAGGGGCCCGATGCGCTGTTCTGCGCACGAGTGGCAGAGGTAGCCGCCCTTGTTTTCCTTCCTGTTGCTCTGCAGTGACAGACCAGACAGACAGACAGGTAACGGGAACCATCAAAGAACAGGATTTTCCACCAAAAAGCGCAGAATGATTGTCGTAGCTGCCCAGGGACAATGCGTAAGGATTCTGATGTCTGATTTTCAGACCAGTGCAAGCCCTGGGCAATAACCCTTCCCACAGCACGGTCTTCTCCGACGGACTCGACTCTACCAAATTCCCTTGAGCAGAAACCACAACTTATCCAGTCGAGACGAAGAACCAAGGAAAACTGACTGGGCCCTCCAGGGAAGCAGCCCTCCTCTTGTGTGCAGCCTGGACCACCCCCAGACCGCGGGCTCCAGCATGTCCAGGCAACGTCACCTGTCCTGCCCCGACCCACGGGCAGACCTCACACCCCTCGTGCCCGACGTGGGAAAAGCCCCTGATCTCCCTCACCCGCAGCCCAGAGCAGCACACCGCTCACACGCGATGAAACGCAAATGGTGACTACATTCCGCCGAGCCCACGTACGTACGTAAGTGATGGGAAGCTTCTTCAGGGTGAGGACGGTGTCGACCGGGATGGCGTTGTTGCACTGCCCCACGCAGCAGCGAACCACTCCTGTCTTTAGCACGTTACTGGTCAGCTCTGCTTGCAAGAAGTACTCCTGAGAAGGAAAGAGTGAGAAAGAGCGTGACAGCGCTATCCCCGCTACACTCTACTTGGAAACAACAGGTGGGAAGCTGTACACACACTTTAGACGCATCCCAAGTCCCAGAAAAACGCCGACTGCCCCGCCCCTTACTTTTACTAACTTTTCCCTGCCTGCAAAGCTACAGGCTGTCCAACTGGCTTCTTGGTAAAATTTGTATTTAAAAAAAAAAAAAAGATTTAATGGACAAACATGTAAAATCATTGTCTACAATGATATTCCAGGGTTATTTCTGGATTTTGTCGTACGCTAACCCATCCCTAACTGAATCATTAGACTTCTGCTCACTTTCTGACCCAGGTAAGCTGACACAGAGGACCTTAAGAAAACGTGCCCAAATCAAGCCCGCACATTTCCACCTTCCTACGCCGCTGCCTGTGCCGGTGCGCAAACAGCCTAGCTGGGCCTCAGGTCCTTTGTCTAGGACGTGCAGATGACACGGTGCCTACTCCACGGTGCTGGGCTCTGCGAGGGAGAAACACCACAGCACACGCCAAGCGCTCACGCCTGGCGCAGCGCGAGCGCCCAGATGCGACATTAGTGACTGGAAACCGCCGGACGGGGGCTGTCAGCTTTGTCGCTGCCCCGAGGACTCCTGCATGTGCTGGGACACCAGCAGGACCACGTTGTGTGCTGCCATAAATTATGATTTCATGTTTTCTGGATCATGCCTGGCTACCGATCTAGCTTTCCTACAATCTGTGTCCCACGTTTTATTCAGTCTTCTCTCCTGCAGGACCCGCCTTCCTGCTACAGAAAACAACAGAAAATACACAAACACTCAGGTTCCAACCAACGAGTACCGACAACTAGCAGTACGAAATCCTTTTTTAAATAGAAGTAGAGATTTTGTTGAAGTCCCTCTGACTGTCGTCTCCACTTCAGAGTCACGAGCTTGGCGCAGTCCTCTCCCACCAACTCTAAAACAGCTTCCCGTTCACACGCGTCCAGGAACATAAGGTCTCATTTTGCAGGTGTCCGTCTGCGTGAAGGTTGCACTTGTGGTTTCCTCCTCACCTAGCTCACTGCTCTTGAGAGCTACAGCACCCCGATCTCACCACTGTTTCACCTCTTGTCCATCCAGCCCTTTGGTGTGGCTGCTCACGTCCTTGCCAAACTATTTCCAACAACGCAACAATGAACATCCTTGTATGTGTTTCCCTGACCGCTGCATGCGTTTCTCCAGGGCTGGAGCTTTCAAACACTTTAGACCCACTTACTGCTACAATTCCACGCACATGTGCACACATGTAAGAAACGGAAATAAAAGCTTTACAAAATACCATTCGACTTTACGTACCATTCGACTCTATTTCTTTTAGATTTTATGCCATTTCTCTTTTTTTAAAGCTCATTGTAACCCACCAAATTAACGTCATCGATCATTAACGAACTGCAACCCACACCTTGAGCAGAGCTGCTCCCACACAGCAAAGAGCTACCGTTTGGTCTCAGGGTCCCTCACACCACTGAACGTCAGGGGACCAAAGAGCTTTCGTGTGAGTTAATATTTATAATGTAAGAAATTTAAACTAGGTGTCACGCATTCAAAACAGATAATTAAATCAAAAAGAAGCACCGCATTCCCTATAGGGACCGTAGACAAACGACACGTCTAACTGTGTATTAAACTGGTGACAAAACCACAGGGAAAAAAAGAACTCGAAAGTGACTTCAGAATGTGGCATTTTGACTACACATCATTAGTGGAATATACGCTCAGGAGGAATGGAGCTGCTTGGGAAATCTTAAATTCCATTCCGTACTCTGTTACTAGTAATATTGGTATTATTTTGAATGTTATTTTGAAATACATAGAATAGTGTAAATAATAAGTACCGCTAGGAACAAAGGTTTCAGTGTAAGAGAAAAGATTCAAGTGTGAAAGATGCAGTAAAAATCCTTTAATGGGAAATGTGAATTGGATTGTAGATCACGATTCATGAGTCCCACGTGCAAAGGGCTCGGGGCTCTGAGGTG